AGATAATGGCAAGATTGGAAAGAATTCTCCCTCTGACCACCTTGTCTTTATCTTTTCGTCTATTTATCTTTGGTGCGTTATTTAGAGGATGAATGGTGAGTTTCCTATGATATTCTTATCTTTTTTTTTTTTTTTTTTAACTTTTTTATTGAACATTTTGAACTGAAGACAGACATTGTTGGGACAAATTCAAAGTGTAAATACAAACTCAGTGTCACAGTTCTGTCATCCCCCAACCCCACCCACAGGCCAAAAAATAAATTAATAAACAAATGAATTAAGAAAAAAATTTTTAAAAATAAAATAAAAAAATAAATAAGTTAAAAAAAAATAAGTAAAAAAAAAAAAAATAAAAAGTATAAATAAATAAGAAGTATAAAGAGAAAAACAGATAAAATAATTTAAATTTTTTTATTTATTTTTAAAAAAAGGGGTAGAAATTAATGTAAATGTAGATAGATAAGTGGAAATCATGTTAAACAATCAGGTATCCTCTGGGTCAAGAAGATTCAATGAGTCAAATTTCCTATGATATTCTTAATAAAAATTCCACAAAGAAATCCACAAAGTTCAGTACCTCTGAACATGTCTGCCTCCAAATATTTAGTCTCATAAAAAACAACTTTCTTTGTGAACGCTCAAGGAATTTAATCAAAGCAACTTTCGAAACTCTCCGAATTTATCCGAGCAAGTATCTTTTGTTCTTCTTTTTTTTTTCCGTCCACATACTTCAAACTTGACCGAGCACAGCCAAAGTGCATCGGCGTATATTGACATTTAAACGAGAGCCGATGGCCTCCAACATGTCGACCCATTTGCAATAAGAGGACGACATTTTTGCATAAGCCTCCTGCTAGGCTTTTCTCCGACTCAACCTTTGATCAGTGGAGTCTGGATGGTTTTGGAAGTGGACCAATAACTTCAAAATGAAGTTAAAAATGAATAGAATTCCCTTTTGCAAAGCCTAGCCCCATTTCAAAGAAGGGGGAATCTTTAAATGCGGTCTTGCTTGCCAAGTAGTTTATATTCTATTATTAGAAAATGGCAGCACAATGGGTACAGTATGAGTGTGGGGAGAAACTCTGTGGTTCTCAAGAAGTTATACAGATTTTGGTGCAATAACCCAAAGTGGCTGTTTGGCTTTCGGATCAGAAACCACACACTCAACAACGAGCCGTGTCAACAAATATAACACAAACCATTTTTTTTTGTCTCTCTGAATATCACAAAAAATGTTCCTTAACCCTGTAATGCCAAATGTATCATATCTGATTCATAAGGTTTCTGAAATGTTTTGCCTCTGACACCTTTTGCATAATTTAATGG